CATCTTTTTAATCCAGTCATCCCCTGTTGGGCATTTGGGCTGCTTCCATGTCTTGCCAATACCCACTCAGATGTGTTACACCTCTGTGCTGGTGCTCGTCTGGGTTAGGGCTTGATAAAGCAGCATTAAGCTGTGCCAGGTGAGTGGCTGGACAGGCTGGGGACCATATGTTGATCTGCTGAGGCTGATTCCCATTGACATCCCCAAGGGAGGTGGTCACGACAAACCCCAAAGACCTGTGGGACAAAGTAGAGGCTTCCAGCCCAGATAAGATGCAGTGGTTATATTAGCTGGGTCACTATGTGGGCCTGTGCACTAGCTGGGTATAAATTCCACAATGTGGAACTGCATCATGCACACTCCAGGGGTGACAAGTGGTTAAGTCTCAACCTACCAGGTCTCCGGTCTGGCTCTGAAAGGAGACCCTCTCAGGTCTCACCAGCGCCTGGCAGGAGCCTGGGATGGAGCATTAGCTAGGCACTGAGGAAGAAATGCATCTGTAAAGACCAGGCCGCTCTGACAGCACCCCTCAGGGGAGCCACTAGGTGGCGCCACAGCCCCGTGATTAAGCCCTGTGGGCCTGTATTCCCCTTAGGCTTCTGGGCGGGGAAACTCACTCCGGCACACGTTTCTTCACTTTCCAACTTTCAGCCGGCTTTGCTTCTTGCTGCAGACAAGTTAGGGTGGAGGAGGGATGAGGTATTGTTCTTCCTTTGGCACTTTTGAGGGCTTCTCTTTCCCGGCCAGCCGCATCACTTCTAGCTTCAAACTTGTGTCTCATCTAGGAAAATAGTAATAACAAGACCCACCTTACAGGAAAGGTGTGAAGAGAGATAAACGAGCACTAAACACTAAACTCCTCGCGCCTTCCCCCACCCCTCCCAGAGTTTGGCTAGTTAGGGGATATGAAAATGTATCTAAACAATACAAGAAAAAGCAGTAGAGGGGTGACTCAAGCTGAGAGGCTTAGCGGCCTGGGCTGGCCCTAGCGAGTGTCGGACCAGGCCAACGCGGAGGATAAACGGATACGGATAAACGGATTCGGATAAACGTGCCAGGTACTTGAAGGGAGACAGGACAGGACCTGGGTGGTTAGTCTGATTAGGTGATGAGGGGCAGTGAGAGAGGGAGGAAGCAGAACCTAATCCTGCTCAAGTTCCCAGCACAGGGCCCAGGTAAGTGTGGGGGAAGACTGAGGGAGGGGTGAGGCCCCCTGGGAGCTCAGAACCACCTCAGGAAGGCCTTGGTTTAGCCAGTGTGGGGTTGGGCAAAACAGGAAAGCCTGGGAACACAGCCCTGAGTTGGGCCCTCCGCCTGTGCCTGTCTCTGTCTCCCGGGTCCCAGGCTCCCAGCCCCACCTCAGCTCTGGGCCCCCGACTGTTCCCCAGAGGCCTGGCACCTGCCTACTCCCTGGGCCTCAGCACTCATTCGGGGCTGATGCAGGAGCATTACGTTAATTAGTTATTCATTTAATTTAACTTTACATTTGGTCTCAATTAAACTTAAAGTGTTCTTCCTTATAGATGTTACAATAGCACTTGTAATTAAAAAGCAATAACTCTTTGCATTTCTCCTTTAGAGATCCACTGGGAGGCTGGGCTAGTGGTGGTGCTGGGGAGGTGGAGAAAGGGAGAGAAGCAGTGAAAAGGAAGGGGAAGAAACTCTGGGTAGATGTGAGCAGGGGAGGTTGCTACTAGCACTAAAGCTGACGGGAAGGAAGCCCTCAGCTCATCAAAGTGCCAGGTCAGAACCCCAAGAACTGGAGAGGGATTCTGGAGAAAAAGGGAGCAGATGTGGTGTAGAAAGGGGGGGCAGGGTTAGGGTGCAGGAAGCCATCCTTAGAGATGGAAGATGGAGCCTTGTATCCCTGCTAGGAAGAACAACATCCCCTCTTCCGGAGGGGGCCCCATCCTCATTCCCAGAACCAACGACTAAGTGGCAAGTTAACATTTTATTTGTAGATGGTGAGGTGGGTGACTCCCTGGATGATGAGGGTGGGCCCGGAGTAATGACCAGTTGCTTAGCGCTACAAGAAAAGCCAAGCGTGTGGGTATTGGAAAGTATGGAAAATGATAAAGATTGGAAGGGAGCCCCAGGAATTTGGCCAGGGCGTGGGGTGGCTCTGAAAGCTAGAAAAAGCAAGAAGTAAGATCTAGCAACTCCTAAACATTTGTTTCAGCTCCATGAACCCATTTTAGATTTCTGACTTCTAGTGCTATCTGGTAATAAGTTTGATTTACGTAAAGCCAAAGTTTGTAGTGATTTGTTACAGCAGCAGTAGGAAGCAATTACATATAAAGCTGGGGTGACCTCAATCTGAAGGTGGGAAAAGAACACAGGAAAACCAATAACTGAAAAAAAAAGCAGAGGGTGTTACAGGGCACCCCAATGTGAATTAGGTTGCCTGTTCTGTGGTCTTCACCCGCGCGCTTACGATTCAATCGTATATGGACACACTCAAAAGGTTAAATAATGGATTTATTTATAAGGAGAAAGGTAAAGGAATAACCCAGGGAAAGAGGGAGAGAAACACAGGTTAACTAGGATGTCCCACCAGTTCTGCTGACTTGGACTCCACCTGCCGCTGAAAACTGATTGAGCGCCAAAACGATCAGCTGCGAACCACCAGGTCGAGTTCCCCCAGAGCCCACCTGCCCACCTGGCTGCTCAGCTCCGCCCTCACGTCCCGGTCGTGCTTCTCCTTGGTACTGATGGGATTTGGAGTTCCAGCATCCGGAGTGGGGGCGGAGTCCATGAAACCTGTACCTGTTACAAGGGGAAGCCAGTGGCGGTTAGGGAGAGGTGTGGGCTACCCAATGTTCACTCAAGGTAGAAGCTGGCTAAATGCAAGATCTTGCAAAATGCCCCATGATGTGATGAAAACCAGCATTTGTCTGTGGTGCTGTGCCCTGGGTTGTCTTTTCTTTGGTCCCAGGACGCTGGGACAAGATGGTGTGCAAAGGATAGGATGGGGGGGGGGGGCGAAGCAAACAACAGCCCCCATGAACTACTAGAACAGATCCTTAAGCCTGTGGCTTTGATTCTTCCATGGGCCTGTGAAAAACCAACCCAAGTATCAAACTCCCCAGGTGGGCTGTGTTTAAGACAGATTGCTAGGTATGTCCTTGAAAACTCAATCTAAAAGCTACTCGGTTGTTTAGCGTCTCTGAGCAAAAGAGCAGATTGGGGCCAAACCAGGGTTAATCAGTGAAGTTGTCTCTGAGGTCGCTGCAGCTTTAACTAAGACCTTGCTGCAACACCTGGCTATTCTGGAGTCTGGATTTTCCTCTAGACTCAGCCGCTTCTTGGTATTTCTAGCACCTGCATTCACATTGGGTGGCCTTGGGTGCTCCTTGCTCTTAAGTACTTTCGGAGCCAAAGTGCCTGATTTCAGATGCTGACTCTGATTTAACCCATCGGCTTGGTGACCTCAAGCAAATCTTCTCTCTACTCTTCCTGCTCCCTGTTGGTACTGGAGTGCTTCATAGTGTTGCTGGTGAGGGTTACATAACTGAATACGCGAAGCATTTAGGGAAAAAATCCTGGCCTGTATTAGCTAAATAGAATAAGAATTGTGATTTCAGCATGTGAAAAATAAAATATTTCCAAGAATTGGGCGGGAGATATAGATTAAAGGTTGAACTCTATGAACTATAAAATCCCTCCAACCTGGAGTTTTTATGCTGCTGTGAGGGTAGTCAATTATTTTCCAGATTTATTTCCATACAGTTCCCTTTCCCACATCTGGAAACTTGCTCTTATGTAACAACAGCCAAATACTTAGAGATTCAAGCCAAAAAGTTATGATAAAATGTTTGTACCATAAATACTAACTGAAATCTTTAATGAAACTTTTACCTCTTTTTGGATATGGGTTCGGAAAACAGCAGGTACAAATAACTAAGAAATACAATTAACCACTGTGAAAATAAGGAGTTGTTTGAAAGCCAACAATGATCTTTAGTCAGACAGATGAGAAGTCAGGAATCCTGATATCACGTCTGCGCCCTGTAACTAGCTGTGGTATTTTTTGAAACTCTTCATCTCTTGGACTCTTTCTCATCTGGAACCTAATTGCTGGAGGTTTCTCGGCAGAGTGAACAAAAATCAAAGTGAAAAAGGCATCAATTATAGTAGCAACAGGTAGTGGGTAGAAAAGTTTATTTCTTGAAGAGCAAGACAAGAAAGTGGTTACTTTATATGTCAGGATAAAAACCATTAAAAAATGATTTAGGATCCTTTATCCCAGGACCAAACCAAGAAGAGGCCTAGGCATCTCCAAGCTAAGTTCTTGGACTTGCTTACTCCCCCAGGGCAGGCCCTTCTATTCAATGGCACAAAAAAAATGTGGAATTAATGGTATCGTGTATTGTGTGCAGCATGTTATGTGTTCCTTAGTACCTGAACCCTGGCACAGTGATTCTGATTACATACTTGATACTGTGCATCAGTTAAGAATATGAGCTTTACTTCCATTTCTGTAAGTGAGAAATTAAGAGAACTTATCAAAAAATTTACCTGGGGTTTTGCTATTGTGAGAAATCTGAAAGAGATCACAGCACCACCTAGTGGACAGGACAGGTATCTCCACTGTGGGGAGAGGATGGTGTCCTGTTTAGTTTTGTCAGGATGTTTTCAGCTTTTTAAATGAGAAAAACCTCAGTTTATAATGGATATACAGAGGGAAAATCCAGAGTAGAAGCTAGCCACCCGTGGGTGGCTAGAATCAGGATTATACGTGTCTTTTCAGGGAAAGGGAAGTAGTGTGTTGGCCTCTCAGGGGAGAGTAAATGAGCTTGGAAGAGATGAACGGCCTGAGGAGAATCCATGGGAAGCGTGATAGCTTGAGGCAGGTTGTCTGGTGTGGTGTCCCCTGTCCTGTGATAATCAGTCTTCCGTGGCTGACAAAACTGTGTGTGCGTGTCTATAGGACTGCAGGTCCCGAGGAGGATGTTTGCCAGACAGAGGAGGGGTTCAGAGAAAACCTTTTTCTGAATTTGCTGTTTTCCAAAATAAATCACTCAAAAATAAATACTATGATGCTATTGTAGCCACTAGAGCAGGAGTTCAATTCCCCGCTGGGGAGCTGACCCACATGGCAATGCAGACCTCTCTGACTGACCTGCCCGCTGCTCCCCTCAGTAGTGTGTTTTGGTGCATCTGCCTGTTCTGTTCCCCACTATGTTGCTGGTGAATTCTCTTACCTCCCGCACCTCTGGCCTGAACCCCAGTTCTCTATAAAAAAAAAAAATACTATACCTAAGTAGTATATTTGGGGGTAGCTTGTCCTGAACTCCTATGTCACATCATGGGCTGGCATCACTTTGTTAGGCTAGTTTTAAGAGGCTTTGAAACAACCTGTTTTCTTAGAGAGAAGCCTCACTTTACTCTTTCTCCACCTGCTAAACAGCAGGGCTCCATTACCACAGGCGCACAGCTGGGCGAATGGGCAGACAACAGCCTGGCACAAGCAGAGAATTATGGCTGAGATGCTAAGATGACTTGTGTTCACATTTTCGGGCTCACCTCTAAGCCCCCTCTCCAGGAAGGCCATGAACACAGGGAGTGCTATACTGGACACCCCCTGATTATATGGGTGTCCCACCTGGAACGCTCAGTGAGATTTATCTTGTGCCCCTCTGGCCTTAAACTTTTTTTTTTTTTAAGATTTATTTATACATACAGAACTGGGGTACAAGCCAGAGATGCAGGGGCGGTGAGAGGATTCACCAGCGACAGAATGGGGTGTAGAACAGGCAGATGGACAAGTACACTGCTGAGGGGAGCAGTGGGACAGGAGCGGTCTGCTGCGCCATGTGGGTCACCTCTGGGGCGGGCGGGGATCAAACTCGCTGCACTTTACCCCACTGCGCCACCAGGAGGGCCCTGGCCTTAAGCTTCTTATCCCAACTCTTTAGGGCTGAGTCGGGGCTGGACAGGACTGCTTCAGTATGAGCGGAGAAAGTAACTTTTATTTCACCACAACTGCTGACTAGGGGCTTGGGGTAAAAGGGACAGAGGTTGAACTGAAAAACACTTTGTACAAGGCATATATATATATATATATATATATTTTTTTTTTTTTTCCCAAAGCACATAAACCAGTATTTACATCTGTGTAGAAAGAAATACTGAGGATACTTGGGTGAGAATGTAGTTTCTGATGTTAAAACATATTCTCCATGCTGCTAGTATCTGGCACATCACAACAATGATCAGTTGCTGGATATTTTTGGGGGGAATAAAAAAAAAAGATAAAGGAGTTTTCCTAAACTTGCTCCTTCAGCAAATCTCTGAGGAGAGGGGACAAAGGGCAGTCTGTGCCTGTTAGGTATTCACGCTGCCTCTGGGTGGCTCAGCCCCCTGCACAGGCCTCTGGAAGTTTCAGCACAGGCATCCTGGGGGTCATGACGGCCTGACCCAGCTCGCCCTACTTTCCTGAGCGCCTCAGCAATCTCCTTTCTCTCCTCCACTTGCTTGTAGAATTGTTCTCCTTTCTTTCCCTACCTAGGGGCTGTAGGACAGACAGAGAGACTCTTTCCCTTCATGGCTTTTTTGGATAAAGTCTCGTGTGGAATGTTTTCCCACACAGAGTAAGAGCCAGTTCTAGGGCAGAAATAACTGCCCCTGGCCCTCGCCTTGTAAGTAAGTAGGGTACATCTGATCAAAAAGGACTTCACCTGCTGGATAGCAGCAGTCAGAGCTCCTTTTCCCCAAATTGCTTATTAGCATCTTGGTTGAAAATCTACTTCAGCAGATCGCTGTTACTTTTTCCCTTTCAACACTGATGGAAAAGCCGAGGGCTGGGCGCTAAGAAGACAGCAGTGTCCTCTTACGCTGGTGAGAATCTATCTGTGTGGGGAACATTTCGCAACCTCAGTTCTGGAGGTCAGGACTCCAGGGACTTGTCCCAGCAATGAAGGGCTAGTCCCCTGACCTCGGGGCACGAGGCACATGGCAGTGGCAGAACTTTGCTCCTCGGTGACATCTGAGCAGAGGTGAGAACAGGGTCTCGGTTTTCTCAAACAGTGTTCAGTGGGAACGCAGTGGCTTGGCGTAGATTGGCTCCAGGATGTGATGAATTAGAACCAAGAAGAGGGCTCCCAGGAAGACAGCAGTTAGGGAAGCCAGAAGGACACAGCGGCCGATGAAGAAGGAATCCACAATCTGGAGAAAGAAACATCAAAGCAGAATGACTACATCCCAGTGCTCTGGCTGTGCGCCTCTGAAGTGTCCGCTGAATGGGCTACGGGGGTTCTGTACATATTTGTAAGCTCCTGTAACATCCTGTAAATGGTTAAGGAAGAATGTTTTTCTTAATTCCCTGGGCTGGAAATATAAGCTAAAGGAAGCACTAAAGAGGCGCAAGGAAGACAGGGCTTAGCGCAGGAGGTTCATACACATGTGATGACCTCATTGATTCTTGGGTTCTGAAATCAGTTACCTGAGTTAATGGAAGCTTGCTGGCTAGGTTCTAGAAAGGCTTCTTCCTATTGTTAGCTTTTTATTATGGAGAACTGTAAATATGCATAAAAATACAATTGTCTCAATACAATAAACCTCCCCATATCCAAGATCAACCTCCCCACATCAACTGTTGCCAATTCAGGAGGATTCACTTTGAAAATGCAAAGGCGACTTTTCAGACTTTCATCAGAGTTCTGAATCCTTATATTCACAGGTCAGCATTCCAAGGGCTATGGAAAACAGCCATTCTCTGTGATATGAAAACATTCGGAGGACAGGTAACTTGCCCTCAAAACTTACAGATGGCTGCCTGGCACCCTGTGATACATGAGGACCCAAATCTGCTGGTCTGTGATGACAAAAACCTGTGATTGGTTCTACTCACTTGTAGAGTTCTAGTCTCCCTAACCCAAATGGTGGTGCTTGTTTCAGAAGAAAAAAAAAAAAAAGGCAATTTAATCTAGAAACTTAATGTAGTAGCAGCACAAACTGGGTGAGTTTACAGCTTCTTAGGAGCTTTGAAAGCCCAGTACCTAGATGAGAATCCAAGATACCTAAAAAGCTGCTGTGGTGGATAGAATAATGACCCCCAAAAGGCCACTTCCTCATCTCCAGAAATGAGCTAATGGCAAAGGAGAGTTAAAGCTGTGGGCGGAGCCAGGGATGATCAGGTGACCTGCAGTGGGGAAATTAGCCTAAATGATCCAACCCAGGTGGGTGCAAGGCAGTCACCAGGGTCCTTAAAAGTGGAAGAGGAAGGCAGAAGAGAGACTCAGAGGAAGTGATGTGAGGACAGAAGCAGAGTTGGACGGTGTTACCCTGCAGGACCATGACAAGGGGGCCACATCCAGGGAGGCCTGGAAAGGAGTAGCACCCTGCCAGCCTCTTGATTTTCACCCAGTGAGACTCATTTTGGACTTCCAGGCGGAAGAACCGTTCACCTATGAGCAGTACGCCACTGAGCTTGCAGTCATTTGTTACAGCAGCGATAGGAGACTAATACCGTAGCCGCGTGCTCAGCACCTGTCAGGTCCAAGCACTGCTGTGATCACTGAGATCCAAGACACTGGGAAGGAAAGGGGTGCTCCAGAGACTACCCCCAACAGCCAACTTACAACAAAGGTCAGTTTGATAAAATAGCTTTAACATAACTTTGACCTTGGCTCCAATACAGAACAAGTCTCTCGTGGGCTACATGTTTGCTCGTTCGACACGTTTCACTTTTTAATTAGCCAATTAGCAGGCCTTGGGTGCAGAAGGCCCAGGTCATGTATTATTGATACAGTATTGAGCCAGGCTGCTGCAGGGACTGGATCTCAAAGGCTGAAATGAGAACGCCGATCCTGCTGGCCATGCTGACGAACATATTTTGCTCAAACTCCAACCTTCTCTCCTGGGCCTGCAAGTCAGGAGAGAATGATGGAGGGAGAAAGGGGCTGATTTCCAGACAGGGTTTGCTCTGTTTCCTTCGCCAGTCTCCCCATCTGTAGCCATCCAGAAACATGGCAGCCTCCTCATGCGTGTGCTTTAAGGCAGGAATGCTGAGGTAGGAACCCCCCACCCCCCAAGCTTACACATGTGGTACTGACATGTGTGCCTAACATGATACCCACCATGCAGGTGGTTTTCAAATATAGACCCCAAACCTGGTATGTGAGGAAGTAATTCCATTTATATGTGTGCAAAGGGTTATTTCCCTTAACATTTTCAGGACTCACTTCCCCCCGTTGCTATGGTTAGAAAAGAGTGCTAGTTTTAGTTCAAAAGTCATAGAATTTTGTGTTCTGTAGTCCAGTGTCCAGTTACCCTCCAGACACCTTGGGTGTCCTGTGGCTCTCTGTGATGGACACATGAGTCTCCAGCCATGAAGGCTTTGCAGACAGACCTCAGCTTGAATCCTAGCTCTCCCTCTTCCTGTGTGTGTTTGACCTTTAACCCCTTATGCCTCAGTGGCATAACTGCTTTCCTGTAAAAGGGGTTAGGGATACTGTCAATTTCATCTTACTTGGGGTTGTCCTGAGTGAGGTTTGAAGGCAAATGTGCTTCACACAGGACTTGGAACATAGTAATCCCCTAAACATGTCAGCTATTATCCTGACTAGAAAAGTTAAAACAGAAGCTGAGAGAAAAGAAGCAAAGAGTAGGAATGCAGGCTTAAAACAGTTAATGTCAAGATCATCAGGATCTGAGACTGTCATGCCTGGTCAAGCCAGAGCCCCAAATCGGGACTGGGCCAGAATGGGTGGGGCCGTTAGTGGAAGACTTTACGAGAGATGATATAGATCTATTTGAAGGCGGTGCTGGCAGATGTGGTTCTATGAGTGAGAACCCAAGAAGCTCCCAGAACTGTTAATACTGAATTTCCCTCTCCCCATGTGTGCATGGGGATGTTCCTCTTTTCTCATGTACATGTCTATGAAAATTCTTCTTTCCAATCACAAATGGGAAAGCTCAAATGTGGGAAAGCAAGATGTTGAAAGCCCTGAGCGCACCACAAAAATTGGGCCCAGGATGAGCTGCTGAGCACAGGTGACCCTTTCGGAGTAGGCCTAACTCATGTTCTCCTTCAGTGGTCCAGTGACATGAGGTAGCTTTTGGACACATCGATCATTCAACTTAGTATTCAGTGGAGTCGGGATCAAACCAGAGAAATGATGGCCCGGTGCTGCCGCTGTGAGCGGGTCCCAGGTAGGATTCTTCTCCTGGGCGAAGGGGGTGGGGGGTGAGGCAAAAGTGTCTCTGAGCCTCCCCCATCCTTGTTTTGATTTTACAGTCCCCCTTACACACTTCAGTCAACCCAATGTTCGGGCACAAGTAAGCAGGTTAGAGATCTAGACAAGAAACGCGAGCTATAGCAGATGACAAAACAAAAGCAATAGTTTTACCTTCACTTCCACCTCTGGGGCTGGGAATTCACTGGCTCGGGGTAACAGCAATAACACTGAGGTGATGAGCACAGCACCAAGAAATAGGAAAATGATGGAGTACCTGGGGCAAAAGGTAGAGTTCAAAGCAATGTCAGGGCTGGACAGGCTCTTCCCTCGGGCCCATACTCCATGTCTCAGGCCATCACGAGGCCCCGAGACTGGCAGCCCATGATCCCTGGCAACTCTACAAATGCCTCCCCAAGCCCTTACCCAAGGCCTTCATCCCCAAACCCTTCCTCCTAGTAGGTACCAGCTGGATGCTTCTGGTTGATCTGGGTAATTGCAAATTCCCCAGAAAGGGGATCGGTAGGCTTTCATCTGGGCTCTGTGCAATTATAATCACCAAAGCAGCCCTTCATAAGCTTGTTCTTATTTTCAAGAATGTTCAAACAAATGATGTAACTCACGCTTTACACCAACACTACTGTCTGGCCAGAGAGTGCAAGGCTAGAGTCAGCTATGGCCTGATTCTTCTGAAGCCAACACCAGGCAAGGAGAGCCAAGCTGCCTGACCTCTCTCCTGCCCCTTCCCGCCTCCCCCAAGCCCTCCCCAAGCATCCCTGGGCCCAGGCCTAGAGCAGGCATCTGCACAATGAAGAGACACACACATCCAACCTCAAGAAATTCAACAGGCAGTGGAAGCAGATTTTCCTTTGAGCTATCCCCATCTCCTCCAAGGTGAGAACTGAAAAACACCACTTTCCTTCTCCTCCCACCTTGGCTTCAGAACATAAATAACACAGTTAGTGCTATGATAAGAGGTTGAAATGCAACTCATTCAAACTGCCAGTAATTACAAAAATGATCTTCTGAATTCTAAATGTTTAATGAGCGTCAGCGATTTCGCCTCTAATTGCTTTTAGCTCGGACTCCCGGCTGGAGAGAATGCCTTACCTAGGGATCCCGGAGGCTCGCGATAACAGCGCACACAGCAGCAGCGTGAAGACCCAGAGCAGGGCTAAGATGAACACACCGGCCCCCACGCCGAGCACAGTGCCAGCCATCAGCGGGGAGGGGTGCGTGTGAGCGCTGCCCCAGCTCAGCCCTGGCAGGAAGCGGGTGCTCCAGGAAGGCACTGAGATAAACACAGAAGGTCTGAACTCATTATGGGGAATTTTTGATGATTGGTGTATTAGAAGATTAGTTGATGCCCAGCCCCAGAATCTCTGGATCAGTCAGAGATTAAGAACACAAAACCTTTCCCTTAAAGACTATGGTTGCTCTCTGTTCCAGGTGGGTCATTTAAAGTTTGTTGCCAGAGTGTGAGTTTGTCTGCCCCCAACCCACAGTGGAACTCTCCGTGAAAAGAAACCCTCCCTGAGAACTCAGGCTGGGGCTTGAGGGTTCTGGGGCCGATGGAGTTGATGTTCTTCAGTTAAGTCCATGGAATGAGCTTTGCCTAAGCGGGCAATCATGGGACAGCAATCTCTTGTGCAGTTTTTAATCACAAAAGGAAGCAAATTCCCGTACCTGAGGAGGAAGAGTCATTACTACTTTTGAAAATTCACTATGTACCTTCGTATTTATTAAATACTAAACATTTCATTTAATCATGGCAGTGAGCCTTGGAGGTAGGTACCATTGTATCTGCATTACAGAAGAGGTAACTGAGGTTTGATGCAAAGGGGTGTGTATTAACAAACTAGTGGCTTACAACCCAGTTATGTTGTCAGTTCTGGGGGCCAGAAGTCTGAAATCGGGGTGACAGCCAGGTCATGTTCCCCTTGGAGGCCCTAGCTGAGACCCCATCCTTGCCTCTTCCGGTTCCTGGCAGGTCTGGGGGTCCCAGGCCAGTGCCTGCGTCCCATGTCCTCAGCATCCACCCTTACTGGCCTCCTCTGTCTTTGTCTTCTGTCTCTTATGAGGATACTTGTCATTGGGTTTAGGATTCGCCCCAATAATCTCATGGGGTCTCATCTCGAGAGCCTTTGTTAATCATATCTGCAAAGACTGCATTTCTAAATCAGGTCACATTCACAATTTTGAGGCTAGGCTGTGGACATCTTTTGGGGGGCCACCATCCAGCTGATTCAAGGATAACATCACATTTTAGCACCCCTGATCTTGCCTCTCGGTACCACAGATAAGTGTCCTGCAAACAAATTCTTCCTCCAGCTGATGGTTTTCTTAAGATGATGGTTAACCGATCACAAAAATTACTATCTGTGAGAAGTGCTGTTAGAATTGGAAAGGAGCCCTAAGCATGCACTACTAAAAAGTAATCAGTCAAAACATTCAATCCACATGTGTCATGTGTCCACCATATACTGCACCTAAAAGCTGCGGATCACAAAGCCGTAAGACTTTTACATTCAGACACAAGCTTAAGGCCTGGTGCATACTGTCAGGTAAGTAAGTGTCCGTCTTACAAACTGATGAGCAGAAAAGCTGAGGTGCAGTGGGAACCGATCTAGGGAGTCAGGCCTTACAAAGGGAGAACTTTGCACGGGCTCATTTGGAAGGAAGCAGGGTGGCGAGATGACAGCGTAAGGGACAGGGTGGCACAGGGAGTCATGGGGGCCCGCTGGCTCCCATGGGCCTCTCCATGCCCACTGGAACCACTGGGGTGGTTCTTCCCCCTCATTTGGGCCATAGGGATTCCTGTCTGTGTTTCCTTCAGCCTGCACTTCACAAACTATAGCTCACTCATATTTTTATGTATTATTTACAGGGTTTTTTTCTGTCTCTCCAACTAGAGTAAGCTGCACAGCAGCAGAGACTACATTTTGCTAACCAACGTAGCCCCCGTTCCTTCTGCAGAGATTACAAGCAGCACATTTATTTTTGCATGAATAAAGGGGCAGCATTAACAAGTCCACACAAATCAAGTGCAGGAGTGATAGGAACTAGCTCTGGCGAGATGACGGTAGCTTCTGGTCAATAAGAGGGACAGAGCCAAAGGCAAGGGCCACACACAACAGCAAACACGTAGAAATGCTCAATAAAATCGAATGAAAAGAATTTAATATAGAGCAGAGTTTGAAAGCAATAACGGGAAATCCTCAAGAGCTATAAATAAAGGTAACTCAGACCCCGAGTGGTGAGCAGGTGCTAAGCCGAAGGTCTACGGGGCCCAGGGACCCGCTGCAGACCTCTGGAGTGACTCTCCCCTGACAGGCAAGTTCTCCGGCCCACGGGTCTGGAGACCCAGGACAAGGCATCAGCTGGGCCCTTGCAGAGTTCACCTGTATTTGAAATAGGGGTCTGAAGATTTGCTCCTTACTTAGTTGGCTATGGACGAGCTAAGAATAATCAGCCTATGCAAATGTGGGGTTCAGACCACCACCAGTGTGGTATGGGACCCTGAGTAGTAAGGGGAATCAGAAAACTAGACAGATGGCCTTAGGACCTCTGCAGAGACAAGTAGAACCTCTGTAGGGAATGCAAAGCTCTCACAAGAGTAAGAGGAAAATAAAGGTGTTTTCAGACATATGAAGACTGAAATGGCGTTCACTTCTCATTGATAGTCCTTCAGCAAAAAGCAAAATGAACCAAGAATAAAAGGTGTGAGATACAAGGGGAAATGGTGGGGGGAAATACTGGGAATTACTGATACTAAATAGTCCCATAATAATAAAGACTAATTTTTTCTCAAGGGTTAACTAGGAAGACCTAAAATAGGTGTCAGTCGTTATGTGGGAGAAGAGAAAGGGTAAGTGAAGCCATCCCTTAGTTATTATTGTGAGCTGGAGGATGGATGCAAGAGTTAGTGATTTCCTGAGGCACTGGTAAGCTAAATATCCATGTTAAAGAAACGCAGGTAAATACCAAAGAACAGAAATAGAATGTTTAATTTCCACATCAATAAAAGAAGGAAACAGAAGAAGGGAAAGAAACAAAGGAAAATAGAATACACAAAATATATAGTAAAAATAAGCCCAAGCATAACATTACTCATGGTAAATACAAACATGATATCTGACTACTAAGAGAGATACTCCTATTGGGTTTTTATTTGAAAAAAACAGTTCTTTTCAAAAGTGAAACAGGAAGCTAAGAAGAGATGCACTGAAACAAAGGCCTTGGGAAAAGGCTACAAAGCAAATGCTAACAAAACAAAAACAAAGGGGGGGAGGGGGAGGTACGACTCTGTGGATAGAGTTTGTTCTGCCACAGGAAAATGTTCTAGAGCTCTGCTGTACAACATGTGAAGATATTTAACATTACTAAATGCAACACTTAAAAACGGTTAGGATGCTAAATTTCAAGTTATGTGGGTTTTTCAAACCACAATCGAAAAAGCAAACAATAAAATACAAGCTGGTGCAGCAGTATTAGTTTCAAGCAAAACAGAACATAAAACTTAGAAACTATTATAAGGACTGTCACAAAAGGACTCACTTAGCAAAAAGATACAACTCAAAGCAAACGTGAGCCTGGAGCGAAGACTTAAAATACAGAACGTTAAAATTAAGAAAATTACTGCACTTCATGGACAAACCCACAAATGTAGTGGGAGATTTTTTTTTAATAATAGTTTATTTTTACATCATTTTGTGCATTTTTTTTTTCATCTCAGTTGTAATCTCTGTGGGCTTCCCATTGTAGTGGGAGATTTTAACGTACCTCTCTCGAAACAGATGCATCCAGCTAGTTAAAAATAAACACTTGAGAAGATACATAAATGACTAATAATTATGTGAAAAGGCCCTCATCTTTCTTAGTCATCAGGAAAATGCAAATGAAATTCAAAATGCAATACCTTTGGACACCCACACCGGAATGGTTGAAATGCTAGGCCCCACCAACTGTTGACAAAGATATGGGATAACTCATACACCATTGGTGAGAGTGTCAATTGTTATTAATTCCTTTGAAAGCTATTTGGCAGTCAGTATCTAATAAAGTTGAATATACAAGTACCCTAACTCTAGCTCTTCTATTCTAAGGTACATTCCCAACAGAAATGTACACATAAATTCGCTGAAGACAAGCACAAAAATAAGAACTTAAAGTAGTTAAAACCCCAAAATTCACTGACAGAATGAATATGGTTTTATAGGCCCTCCCTGGTGGGGCAAAGAGCTAAAGCGCAGCACTGTGAAGCTGTCCGCAGCCACTGCAGCACGAACTGGATCCCAGCCAGGGAGCTGACCCACATGGCGCAGCAGACCTCTCCTGTCTCACCTGCTTCTCCCCTCAGCAGTGTATTCCAGTCAATCTTCTTGTTCTGCTTCCTGCTCTGTCTCTGGTGAATCCTCTCACCCCACGCACCTCTGGCCTGTACCCCAGTTCTTGTATGCAAATAAATCTTTAAAAAGAAAAAAAGGTAGTTTTATACATAAAATCTATTCATTCACACAACAGAATAGTATAAAGCAGTGCAAAAGGACAAACTACAATTATACCCAATATTTGGGATGTGTTTCAGAAATAATGAGTAGAAGAAGCTTGAAACAAGAGTTCATACTGCTGTGCATACAAGAACTGGGGTATAGGCCAGAGGTGTGTGTGGCGGGGGAAAGGATTCACCAGAGAAGAGAGGGGAGCAGAACAAGCAGATTGACTGAAATACACTGCTGAGGGGAGCAGCAGGTGAGACAGGAGAGGTCTGCTATACCATGTAAGGGCAGCTCCCTGGCCAGGGATGGAACTCATGCTGCAGTGGCTGGCGATAGCTGGATAGTGCTAAGACTAACCCCGGTGCCACCAGAGAGACCCTGATCTGTGTACTTTTCTGTCTGTGTATAAAACACTTCACTAAAAAATGTGAATAACAGAGTCTAAGGAGATAAAGCAGCCAAATGCAATGGATTCCAGTTCAAACAAATCAAATGTAAATAGGCTTTTAGGAAACAACTGGGGAAATCTGAAAGATATCTCTATATTTGATGATATTAGGGAATTATTTCTTTTTAAGTGAAAAATATTATTTAAAAAATTGGATAGTATTATGGCTATATTGCTAAAAGATAGACATATATATATATATATGATAAAGATAAGGGAAAATGATGTCTAGGAACTTCCTAATTACCGGGGCAGGGAGAGTGGGTTATAAGGGGGTTAATGTGAAACAAGACTGGTTATGAGTTCATAGGTAGAGCTGGGTGGTGAGCACTTGCTACATTATTTTCCATATTTTTGAATATATTTGAAATGTTTATAATAAAAAGGAATCTGTATGCATATATGTGTATAAGTGGGAATAAATCCAACAGAAGACATATATAAGACTTTCATAGCAAAAATTATGATACTGTATTTGAAGATGTTGTTAGAGGCCTGAAAAGAGAAATAACCCATGTTCCTGAATGACAGGGTTGAAGATTTTAAAAACTCAGTTTTCCATACACTACCAATTCAATGCAATTCTAATCAAAATCTCTTACGTTTTGTGAAACTTGAAAACTGATCCTAAATTTATCTGAAAGAGCAAAAGCCCAAGAATAGCGAAAACAACTTTGAGAACTAGGATAGAAACTCGCTTTTCTTGTTACCAACTGCTGCAAGACACATTATAAAACCAAGGTAATTAAAACAGTGTGATAGTGGCATAAAGACACATGGACCAGTGGAATAAAATAGAAAACCCAGAATCAGCGCCACACATTTATGAGAACTTTGTACAGGGCAGAGTTGGTTTTATGATTCAGTGGGTAAAGGATTTCTTAGATGGTGTTAGGATGAAAGATTATCCAATCCGAAAATAATAAAAGTAGATCACTAACTTTATTTCATATACAGAAGCCAATTTAAGATGGAAAGTAATTCATAATAAAACAGCATATGTTTAAATATACAAATGTTCAGGCTGACTACACTAGAATACATAATGAAGTACAGCAGTCAGATGCTTGTACCTAAACTTAGAACCACCATGAACGTGAATGCTACAAACGTGGGCTGATGCAGGTGTGTTGTACAGCAACTCAAATACCACGAGCTGGGCTGCCTTCAGTTGTGTGATTTTCTAGCGTGATGAACAACTCTTGTTAGAGATCCAAGCCACAAATAAGTATAATTTCCCCTTGATTTGCATTAGAGTTGCATTCCTGGAAATTTTACTATATCAAACTTTGCCAAAAAGTACATTATGTTTATATGAAAAATAGAGTTGGATTCTAGAAATGAGTATCCTGTGGGACACTAAATTTGTACAGGAAACAGGACAGTTCATCATGAGGGACTGTCCCATCACTGCAGAACATCTGACTTCCCCAATCCTGCTTTGTAAATCCTTCCAAAAATCACAAGAATAACCAAAAATGTCCTGACAATTCCAAAATGAACCACCCCCTTGGGGAATCGCTGCTCTAAAAAAACTCTTGTGCAAAGAAACATGTATAAGAATATTCGCTGTACTTTTGTTCATAATAGTAAAACATCTGAAAAAAACCTAAATGGCCATCATAAGGAATGACTGTGATATTATATATGGATGACTATATCTCAAAAATATCGATTTGTATTTTTTGAATAAAAAAGTCTGAATACACATATACATGTATAAACCATGATTATGAATAATGCACAACAATTTTAGAAGAGTACTTGTCTTAGGGAAGGAAGGAAAAAAGCGGAATGGGGCAAGGAAAGAGAAAAGGAATGTTGTCGAGCTCTGTGATGTTTTATTTTTTTAAATAAAACAACTTAAGTGGATATATGCCAGTGTTAATGTCTATGAGCCATGTATCAGAGGTCTATGTATCAGAGGTCTCTGATACACTACCCAGTGTAGTACTCTGTTTTTGAATGCTTGAGATAATTCTTAATTTTTAGAAAGGTAACTGGTGGCAGGGTGCATCTGAATTGAGATCAGAGACCAGAGGTTGATGACCACTCAAGGGACTGTTGCACTTCACCAGATAAGAGATGAGCAGGTCTAGATCCAGATGTTAGTTATAGAAATAGAAAAGAATTGAGGGAGAAGGCTTTAGAGATGACTCAGGTTTTCTGCTTGGTGGACTGAGCTCTTAACAAGATAACCAGTTAAGTTTAATTGCTGATGTTTTGGGTATTGCACATGCATACAAACCTATAAAACTAGGGCCAACTCTAACACCTAGCATACAGAGCAAAGGAGTAAAAGCTGGTCTTTCGAAGCACTGCCTGTCAATACTCCAGAGAAGTAAGAAACACTAGGTTCCATATAGGGGAATATTATAAAGTAAGGGGGTCTTACAAGAAAGGTGTTCATCACTTAGTTCATCACTTAACGTATTTTCTTACTAAAAGTGGAAAGGAAACATCATACCTACAGTGGAGTTAGTTGTGGGGTAGGTGTGAACATCTAGTCATGCTATTGTTTATATCAGTGTTAGCACTTCCCATGTAGGAATAGTTAAATTACTGAGTAAAATATGATTCATGAGACAACAATATTTAATATTTAGTCTTTTTTCCAAAACTTGAGAACCGGTGGTTCCCAGAGTAAATATACTCACTAAATGTTTGTGGCATTTAAAGTGAGTAAACTAGAGTCAGAATAAAATAATCTAAATTTGAACCCCCTGTTTAGCAGCTGACATAAGGGGAACTAATGCCCAATTTTTCTCCCTCTGTGATTATATTGACTGACTTTCTTTGGAAAGAGCTTCTGCAAAACTTTTTAGAGGTATGTATACTGTTTTCTTCACTTATCAGTTGGTTGTATGTGTCCTTTCCCCCAAGTTCAGAGAAGACAGAGGCATTTATTAGGGTGACTCAGCCTTGTGACTCATGCACATGTAACCCATTGGACTAAAAATACCCTGCTCATCAGTGGTGAATGAGAATACTGGTGGCTATTACACGATGCCTTAGTGTCTAGTACAAATGCGCATTTATGGAGAGTACCTGGGCCACAGTGGTGCTGCTGGTGGGAGAGAGAGAACTCACCCATTCCCAAATGTTCAGACTCAAGAGCAGCAGAAACAATGGGATACAAAGGTAAACTGCCCTTCTGGGGGATTCCTTTTCACACTCCTTCCAAACCTGCTTCTAATTGGAGAAGGGGTGTAGGGGGCCCTCATACTTTTCTGATTCTACTTTACCACTTCACCACGCTTTGAGTTTTAAAATGCTCAGATAGCACGTCTACCTTTTTAAAAAAGTGAAACACGGCCCTCCCTGGTGGCGCAGCAGGTTAATGCACAGCACTAAGAAGCTAAAGCCACTTCAGCATGAGTTTGATACCCCCCTGCCCTAGAGGTGATACATATGGCGCCACAGACCTCTCCTGACCCGCCCGCTGCTCCCCTCCACAGTGTACGTAGTGGATCTGCCTGTTCTGCTCCCCACTCTGTCTCTGGTGAATCATCTCACTGCCCCTGCACCTCTGGCCTGTACCCCAGTTCTGTATGCACAAATAAGTAAATCTTAAAAAAAAAAAAAAAAGGTGAAACACAGACTGAGGAAAAACAGTTTCCAAGCTATTGAAAGGCCACCGATGAGGCATCATCACCTCTTAAAAAACTCACTGATCGGAAAGGGCTGCTCCATGGATCCTGATCACACCCTTTGCACCCCCTTTTGCTGGCGGTGTTGCGACTTGGAAGTGACGCACTTGTCCCCTGTAGGCGACATCACCCAGGGCTCCCAGGACAGCAGCCTGGGAGCCCAGCTGTCCTGGGAGCCCGCCAGTAACCAGGCCTCTGGCTTCCCTCCCCAGCTCTGCTGCTGACTCAGGAAAACACTATCCCCAGGTCACATATTCAGAACGCTTGCCTGGCTACGATCCAGTAGCTGGGAAGATTAAGGCTTGGGTCATAAGGTATTTGAATCGGGCATTGACATTTCACTTCCTAAGGAGCATGGGAAGAAAGCATGTTTCCCTTCTCTGTTCCCAGTTAAGTATTGACAGGCCGCCGGGCCTCGGGTCCAAATCCGGGGTTGCGGGAGTCTGAGAGGTCCGCGCAGGGCCATCGGCCTCGCCGGCTTCCAGCCTCCTCAACCCCCGCCTCCGCCATTCTCCCTTCTCCGCCGCTACTTTCCTCACCCCTTCCACCTAAGTTGCCTCTCTCCGCGGTCCCCTACTCACCGTTCCCACCGGCCTTTTCACAGCCTACGACAGGGCGTCTGCTCTACTGAAGGCGAATCACAAGTGGACTTTCATTCTGTAGGTTTCAGATTCACCAATCAACACTGCTCTTTCAAAGCCCAGCTTACTCGTCATTTGCTTACGACCGCCGCGGCACCAGGCAACGCGGAGCGTGTGGGTGGGCAGGTTATCTCTTTAAGCGCTCCTATTGGTTCAACGAGCTCCTGGGACCGACCTCTGGTTTGATTGGGTAGAGGCAGTCCCGGCTCCCCGCTCCCTCGTCCCACCTCGTGTCAATCACACCATTCATTTTGTAACCCGCGGGACCATTGGTCAGTCTAGCCTAGTAGTTGAGCCACACTGAGGCACTTCTCCCGGCTTCCCTAGTCGTTACTATGGAGACTGCACAAACCCGCCGGGAAGCCGCTGTGCCTGGCAACCTCTTTGCTGCATCCGGAGTTCGCGCCCTAGACTTCTGTTTCGGAGTCGGATGGACACCTCAGTCCCTGACCTACTGCCTTGAGTGGGCTGCAGAATCTTGGGGCAAATCAGGCTATACCTCGGAGAGGAGTCACGTCCACTCATGAAGGGTTCCTAATAACCCTCTAGAAGGTAACCGAGTCTGAAGCACTAGTTGTAATAACATCACGTTTTCTTTTATCCTTACCTCGTCGTATTTTATTTGTTGTTAGCCTTACGAAATAGACTGTGTGGAGGGATTATGATACTCAACAGAACAGACTGGGTAAGAGAGGCCAGCGATGATCATATCTGTAGCTACAGCTCCAGGGTGCTGGAACTGGAGCTGGTCCATGCTCTGAGCAGACTGCCTTTACAAACTAAAGCTTGCCTTAACTTTATTCTGAGACTAGACTATGACCTGTTAGACCAAAAGATCCATAAATCAGACCAAGGAAATTGGACACATATCAAAGCAATACCAAATATGAAAGCTGAAGTACTTGACCCTTTAACCCTTGACCCTTTGACAATTCTGAAGCATCCAGAAGCAAATTATTCAATTCTAGGACACTGAATCTCTGATTAAGGGAATTCAGCTCCTGAGTCATAGCTTTATTAATTAAATAGAAGAAAATGGCTAAATTCCAGTGAATACATACTGAAACTTATTCTACTTAAAGGCTTTAATTGCAGCCATAGAAACTAACCAATGATTTGTTATGTATTTAACCTTAGTTGTCCCAATGAAGAGTGCTGTGGTTAAGAAAGCCATTAGTTGATTAATTCATTTCTTTGGAATTGAGTGTTAACAGTAGCTAAACACTGTTAGGGACTGTGAAGATACAAAAGAAATATGATGTGACTCCTTCCTTAATAGCTTGTGGTTTGTTAACATCAAAAGCATATGAAACAATTAAAAAACACTTTAAAGCAACATATAACAATACATCAAACTTAATTTATAGTTAATTACCCCCAAAGATAATAATAATACTTCCTATCTGCAGAACAATTTGTAGTTTTCAAAGTATTTCTCCACTTGCATTATTTGGGGAAATTTTTGTTTTGGCTGAAGTTGATGTGGGTCTTTCTGGTATAGCCAGAAATAACTCTGGGCCCTTACATATGGGAAGCATTGTGAAAAAGGGAACAGAGGCGGAAGGGCATATTAGAAGAGAAAATAGTTTGAACAAAGAGCCTAAGACAAGAATATGAACAAGCTGCTCAGGGCCAATCCTGAGCCCTCCATGTTTGGGGGAGAAAGTGTTCCAAAGTTTGAGATTGGGAAGGTTAACCTTATACATCTAATGATCAAATGTTTTTAGCTAAATTACAAATTAAGAACAGGGTAGCACCCCAATCTTCTTATATCTTTCTGAACAGAGATTACATTTTAGGCTTCCTCTCCTCTAAGATGGGACCATCCTCCACGTCCCACCTCTGTTTCACTCCTTAAGGGGGAAGAGGTATGAGCTTCGTGATTCAACATGACATTCTGGCCTCTCATCAAGATTGAGAGCAGGGTCAGCACTGTGGGGCTCCATCTTCTGCCTTCTCTTAATCAAAGTTGACTCTAGAGAAGACTGATTGCCTGACTAGCCAATTTTTTTCTTTTTAAAAATTTATCTTCTGTACACCAGATGTTCTGTGTGCCTCTCCTCGCTGCTTGACATCTCTGCTGTATGTGTGTCATCATATTGTATGGCTGCACATACATGCTAGGTAGGATGCGTGTCATTGTGTTCAGTCCAAGCAACAACAATAAAAACCAATGTCTCATTTCCTCATTTCCCATATGTTGTGTTTGAAGCACATGCAAGTGTTTCAAGTGTGTAAAATCATTTGTTACGCTAGATAGCAGTAGGGTAGCAACAAAGAGGTCATGAGGATTATGGTGGGTAAGGAATGATTTCAGGAAAAGACATAACATTTTCTGGTTCATTTTATCAAAATTTCTTCTGCTGGAGAGCCCTGAACTTTTTGTGTACGTTTTCTCATGTGTGATGATTATTTTAACCTTTCTCTCAGGTCTAAAAACTTGAGTAATGTTGACTATGAGCTCAGACTCAAAAGCTGCCATTGTTCCATTACGCTGATTAGGAAACCAACTTCAAAAAAATTCTCCCAAGAGCTGTTGTCAGTAATTGACCCAAGTTTCTAGCCTCCAAAAGTCACCCAGAATCATCACCATGATTTTCCACATCACAATATTTAGCTGATGCTATAAATTAGGTCAGCATACTATGGCCTGTAGGTCTCATCTGTCCTGCCATCCATTTTTTGAAAAGATTTATTTATTTATGCTACAAGAGCTGGGTGTAGGTCAGAGGTGTCATGGGGGTTGGGGGATGGAGTGCAGCATGAGAGGATTCACCAGAGCACAGTGGGGAGTAGAACAGGCAGATGTACTGAAATACACCACTAAGGGGAGCCAGGCGTGAGACAGGAGAGGTCTGCTGTGCCATGTGGGCTAGTGCCCAGACTGAACTTATGTGGCAGTGGGGATAGCTTGATAGTTTCAGTATGTATTCACTGGAATTTAGCCATTTTCTTCTATTTAATTAATTTTACCCCCTGCACCACCAGGGAGGCCCCTGACAACTATTTTTGTATAATCTGCAAGCTGGAATGATTTTTGAATACTTAAATGACTGGAAAAGAAGAAAAATGTTTTATAACATGTGAAAATCACGTGAAATTCAAATCTCAGAGTCTGTAAGTAAAGTTTTGCTGCAGCAGCTTAGGGCGTAGCACTGCAAGCTAGCTGCAGCTGCCTCAGTGCCACCTGGATCCCCAGCCCGGAGGTGACCCACATGGTGCAGCAGACCTCTCCTGTCTCGCCCAACACTCCCCTCAGCAGTGTACTTGTGGATCTGCCTGTTCTGCTCCCCACTCTGTCTCTGGTGAATCCTCTCACCACACCTGCATCTCTGTCCTGTACCCCAGTTCTATATGCATAAATAAAATAAATCTTACCAAAAAAAAAAAAAGCATGTTGCTGATAGCTGCTTTCACTACAACAGCAGCATCCAGTAGTTACTCCAGAGACTTTATGACCTATCAGCATGAAATATTCACTATTACACCCTTCAGAAAAAATTCTGATCCTTACTAACTTAGCGGTGTCTAATGAATCAAGGGCGTTGATTCTGAAACAGACCTGTCTGTTGGCCCTGAAACAGACTTTGAAAACCATGTAGTGTTAATTCTAAATCCTCACATCAATGGAGTCATTTCTTCTTGCCTAACAGCCTGTAGTCAGTGGACAAAGCTGGTGGCAAAACCCTGGTTCCATGGGCCAAGTTTGCTTTCACCCATGTTGTCTTTCTCACACAGAACTTCTCTTACTTCACATGGGTTAGGTGTCATGTAGTCTAGAAGCAGAGAATTCATCAAAACTTGTCTCATGCAGGCAAATATCATGCAGCAAATATATTTCCATATAATCACTTTATGGAAAATTTTGCCTTGTACTATTTTGCCTAATTTGAATGGTTTCTTTCCATTTTTCTCATTTCTCAAAAGGTATGTGGCCATCACAAAATGCTTTGTCACGTTGTGTTACTTCTCTCTCTCTTTTTCTTCTTCCATCCACAAAGGAATTCAGAGATAGCTGAGTTTCTATTCAGAAACTCATCTTCTGGGGAGGTGAGGTGAGAGTGGGTCGGATGGCAGAGGACACGGTTTTAGAGGAGGCCCTGCTTGGCTGGGCAGGGGCAGGGGTTCTACAAACCCCTGAAGTGTCAGGCATGGTGTATATGTGCTCCCCATCACTTTCATAAGATTTTCAAGAGGGTTCCCCTGCCCGAATCCCCCAGAAGACCTATGAAGGGAGAACGGTTCAGGGAAATAGCTGCTGAGCCGTGTGGTGGGATTCTCAGGTGTGTCGGGCTGAGGCTGCTATGAAGGGAGAAGCTCTCTGTCCTTTCTACCAGCCCATCCAAGTTTACCTTCTCTGCCACTCATCGAGGTGATAAAAATTCATCAGATTCGCATAACGGTTGAACTCAGATGGTGATGAAATCCCAGTATAATTCTCTCCAAAGAACATTCTGATTAATAGAAACTGCAGAGGAACTAATTTTATGAAAATAGCAAATGGGATTGTTTTAGCAGGAGCAAGCGGGAGAGCGAACGCTGTCGCCCAGCAAAGATGCAAACATCCCCATTGTGCGGGCCTGACAGCTCCAATCTGGCTGCTTATTTATTAAATGTCTTTCTGCAGTAAATTATTAAGCCTGGATTCTGGGAGATGAGGGAGCTGACAGACTAAGACAAAAGAACGGGAAGCAAACCTGGACCGCTTCCTTCAGCATTTTTGCAGCATTGTGTCTTGTGAAAGGGCTGGCCTCCGCGCTGCTGGAGCCGGGGCTGTTTCTTCTTTGAGGGGGTTCAGCAGTGGAGAAGACATGGTTGTGATTTGTGAGTTGGTAGTTCTCACAAATCAGATTATTCTTCAGAGAAAATCCAACCTGTTGGTTCACCAACTGGTAATATTTTGTGTATTCTCTGAAAAAGTTGTTTTGCTGGAACAAGGAGGAACTTGGTCGGCCCTAACATTAAGAA